GGCGCACCATTCCGTTTTGGTGGGCGGCATGGTTAGCAGATACCCCCGTTGAAAGTCGTATGGGGATTAGGTAGTATAGCGCTGGCACGCCCGACACTGTTGGTGATGTGAGTCCTCAGGTATAGCCCGTCGTGGCCGTGGGTCACGTCAAGATGCGCCTACTCCCCTTCTAGTGTCAAAAGTTTGACCCTGGGTTCATACTCTTAGACCTATAGTGGTTGGAGGCGGTACAGACCCCCATCGGGCAAGGCGGAATCCCCCTTCGAGGGGTCTAGCAAGGCGAAGTCTGCTCCCGAGGGGTTAGACGTGACGGAGCCCGCGCCCTCAGGGTCGGGCGACATGGAGCCCACACCCTCGGGGTTGGGCGAGACGGAGGCCGTACCTTTGGGGTTGGGCGAGACCAAAATATGCTCTTAACCATCTGAGTGAGTTAGCGTTCACGGCCATCAGCTTCCTTCTTCTAGGCATCCCTAATACTAATACCCAATAGTAGCTCCCAAGCCTGCGGAGAAGTAGGATACTCCTTTTAAGGCTTTTTCAGATGAAAGGATTCTAAGGGTCTTGATCTCCCTTTGTGGGCCACGGGATGTCTTGGTAGGGTCTCGATTCCTTTCCGTCGCATTTGGACTCTTTGGGAGCATGCAACTGCGGGATTCAAGGTGTCCGAAAAGATCTCTCTTGATTCTGATCCCTCCCTAGGATCTGATCAATCTGCCATTGTCATGCGACCGTTTATTTGGTCTCCTTGCGAGTCCAACTTCCCCCAAGCCCCCATGCGTAGCAAGGGTCCAGTCGATGGGTCAGCTCATCTTGTGGTTGTTCTCCCTCAAGCGTTTTTTTGATAAAATGGAAGGGTTGAGCCGTGCCATGTTTTCCTCAATGGACGAATCATGGTTCTCGGTGAGCTATTAATGGGCTAGTTCGAGTGGGGCCCTGGATTCCCGTTCGTGGGGGTCTGGAATGGGTCAGCTGGTGACCGACTCCAAATTCCTGACGGCCAGTCCATATAGTTCTCGGATCCGTTTGACCGGTCCTAAGGGCTCGTTGCCTTTCTTCGAGGAAAAACCATGGACCGTGCACCGGCCAAGACTCAAACATGGGTCGAGATGCCCATGGCGCTTGTGTGCCCTAGTGCTGGCCGCTAGTGGGGCCATCCTTAACCACCCCTCACTCTAAAGGTGCCCCGGAGCGGTTGAACCCGTTGATGGGCCAACCTTCGAACTCCTAGGCCTTAATGGGCCGTAGGAGCTTTTTTAGCTCCGTATCCCTCCTTACATGTGGCATTTTTTGGCCCATCAAGGGGTGAACCGTCGCCCGCCGCGCCATATTCTAGGGCACAACTAGTTAAGCTAGGTCTAGAGGGAGGCAAGCAGGCTTTGCTTGGATTCCTGATCTTGTCAAGGGCGTGGTTTGGTATAATATTTGTACCCCCTCTCTTTTGTAACTCCATTACTTTTATATATTTGCTACAATTGTTATGACAATATTGGTATTCACAATATTCATGTTCTTTGTTATAATGTTCATTCTCTACTTTGATTATATACTTAGTATAACTAGTTTATCATTATGTTTATGCATAAGTTCATATAGCGCTCGCTCTGGTGTACACGGGGTGAGTGATCGACATTGTGTAAGCGTGGTGCTTATACGTTGTTTATCTACGGATACACCCTATATCCTGGGTCATGTGGTAGATCGTAGATATGACACTCCCGTTGAGTCCTTTGTAGTCCACTCCTTGAATATAGGTGCAACCATCTGAGGAACTTAGGCAAGTTTTATTTTCAAAATCTATTGAAAACCTCCAGGAAGTTTGAGCTAAACCAAAGTAGGCAAAAAGTATCTATCTAGCTACACATTCTTGCAATTGCTTATGTCAAGGTGAAAGCTATAAGTCCCACATTGCTAAGACTGATGGTGAATTTCTAAGTGCTAACATGTTTAACTCAAGAGATATTATTTGTTTGTATATAAGTTTATACAGGGCGTTACATAATAGCAACTCCTGATCCAATACATATTCCATGTTAAACCCGCATCTTTGCTGAGGACAGCAAAGGGGTAGCTTGGGGGAGCTTGTTAACGGTCACTAACACCCGTTTTGACCATCAACATTCCACCCAAAAGCATGACAAATTTAGGTAAATCATAATCACATGTGAAGAATTTTGTTTATAATTCATCTAGTTCCACTTGTGCTTGTAGAATTATTTGTATGCAGGAAATCTAAGCAAAAATAAGCAAAAAGGTGACAAATATGGACACATGGAAGCAAGTGGACATGGCAGGAAGCCTTGGGCCCCACTTGGCAGCACCGCCCGCCCCCCCAAGTGGCCATGCCACATCACTGATCCATGAGAGCTGCTCTAGAGCCAATGACAAGCGTCCATTCAAGTTGGTTTGATCAATGGAAAAGATTTGATGACGATGGATCCATGGACCCATTATCATAGGCTTGGGAGGCTCCAACCGACCTTGGAACTGCCTTACTGCCCAAATTTCAACATGTGCTATGTTAGTAACCGCCATTGGGAGCTAACTCAAGCTGGAGGATCAAGAGGCAGTGCATCCAAGCCATTAGAAGCGTTCACTCATCTAAATGGCAAGAAGCTATGGAAGATGAAATAAAATTGATGAATGCCAACGATGTTTGGGACTTATAAGAAATTTCTAATGGAGCTAAAATAGTAGACTATAAATGGGTCTACAAGACAAAATGTGACTCCAAAGAGAATGTGGAAAGATATAAAACACCACTTGCAGCAAAAGGCTTTACGCAAAAAAAGGAATATATTACAATGAGAGTTTTTTATCCAGTCTCATGCATGGATTCCTTTAGAATCATAATGGCGTTAGTGGCACATTACAATTTAGAGTTACATCATATGGATGTAGAGATGGCATTCATCAACGGGGATTTGTATGAAAACATTTACATGGTACAACCCAAAGGTTTTTTTTGGAAGGAAAAGAGCATATGGGATGTCGCCTACAGAAATCCATTTATGGATTAAAACAAGTCTCTAGACAGTAGTATTTAAAGTTGATGAAACAATAAGAAAGTTTGGGTTTAAAGAGAATGAGAAGGATAATAACGTTTATGCAAAGTTCAAGAATGGAAAATTTATATTCCTCATCCTGTGTATATATGACATCCTACTCGCTAGTGGTGATGTTAATCTGCTATAGGAGAAGAAGTTCTTGTCTCCAAGTTTCAATATGAATGATCTCGGTGAAGCGTCATTCGTTCTAGCAATTAAAATTCACCGAGATAGAAGAAAAATGGGGTATTAGGACTATCGCAAAGGCATACTTAGAAAAGATTCTAAAGAAATAAAGTATGCATGCGAGTAAAACTACGCCTGCTCCTATAGTCAAGGGTAATAGATTTGGGAACTTTCAGTGTCCTAGGAACCATTATGAGATCGATCAAATGAACATGGTTCTATATGCTTCAGCTGTTGGAAGCTTTATGAGTGCACAAATAAGAACTTACCCTGACGTAGTATATGTATTCGGGATGTTTTGGCAAAAGTCAAGTCCAGATATAGATCACTGGAATGAAATTAAGAATGTCTTGCAGTTTTGCAAAGTATTAAAGGCCTCATGCTAAGTAAGGAAGAACAAGTACTCTCAAATAGTTGTGGGTACAAATGTTAAACTTAGATGAGATGTGTAGATAAATCCACAGTAGTTACTAACACTCGCAGTTGGAGTTTTATTGTGGAAAAGCTAAAAAAAATAGTTGTTGTATCATCAATGATGCATACCCATAGTATAGCTTGTTATGAGGCTACAGGGATAGGCAAAAGTGGTTAAGGGAATTTGTATCCGGAATTAACAATGGTAGACAACAGCAATAACCATTTAAAGTAATTCACTTCTATGACAATAGGTCATGTGTGTTACCAAACACATTAACATTAAGTTGTATGTTGTAAAGGAGAAAATCTAGAATCATTTCGAAAGCATTTGAGCGTATAAGTACCGAGCAAGTACTTGCAGATCCGCTTATCAAAAGCTTACCACCCAGTGCGTTCAGAGAACACACAGTCGACATGGGTTTACGGGAAAACCTATGATTTCTCGATACTAAGGGCTTAGAATAAGTTAAAGATCTGTTTCAAAATAGAAACATGTATTGTAGCTGTTAATCTGACGGTACTGACTGTAATGACGAGACACGCTCTATACACTGATCTATAACGAAATAGGTACCAAGTTAAGTTTTAAGTTTAAGTCTAAAGTTCAATAAATAAGGTGAGATAAAGGGGGAAATTGTTAGGATTGGTCTCGGCCAGCTCGATCCAACGACCGGGGCTGGGCCTTGATCTTGTGCTCTGATTGGGGTGCACAAACCAACCCATGTTTGGTGCCCCCCATCGCACAGCGTTATAAAAGAAATGTGCGGGCCGGGGCTCAGGACATGAGGTTCATGGTAACCGCCACAACCCCACCATGGTCCTAACTCTACCGATCGAGGGAACGCTGACAGCGAAGGGATGTGCTACCACCTTCGACACCCTCGCGGGCGTGTCGGCTACCCCTACTCCGACACTCGAGGCCACGTCGCTGCTACCTCGTTGGCGGCGCCACGGCTGCGACTGTGTTTGACAAGGTACATTAACAAGTTCTTTACCTAAGTTGAGTTTTACCCGCTAGATCTGCACCTAGATGTCCTATCAGTTTTAACACTACCAACTCGAGTACGCCCGACAGTATTGAGCCGGTATGGATTAATTGTGTGTTTTGCATTAGTGAATGTTTGGAGTATAAATTAGTGTTACAATGATTTTCAAGCATAATTCCTATGTACAATGTTTGGGTGTTGACCTCCCTCAAATACCTTAATTTTGCAACACCTTTGATATAGGTGCTAAACATCGAGGTTAATACCTGAGTGTTGGGTATGGCAACCTCCTGCCGGTCCGATTGAAAAAAAATAATAATGGATAGGGAAATTTTCTACATGCTCAGCCGCAACTTGGGATTACTTATTACAAAGAGATCCCCGGGTAGAGGTGCGCTGGAAGCCGTGGCTCGGCCTGCAGCACCAGCGGCCGTGCCATGAAGGTGTTGTGCCTGGACTCGCTGAGGTCGATGGCCGCCACCCCGGCCATCTTGCTCCAAGAGAACCCCTTCAGGAGCCTTCCGAAGAGCATGATGCTCATAGCAGTGTCGAGAACTGAAGCGATGCAGCCACGACGACCAGTGCTGAAGGAGATGAACCGTAGATCGTGCTCAACGAGCGAGACCTCCACCTCGGGGGACTGACAGTGATGTGGCGTTCGGGGTTGAAGCGAAGAGGGTCGTCCCAGACATCAGGGTTGCGTCCAAGGCCAGTGTGGCTTAGGATGACGTGGCTGCCCTTGGGGATGTGGTAGCCAGCAACGGTGGTGTCCGCGAGAGCGACATGGGGGACGTTGAAGGCGCTACAGGGTGCAGGCGGAACGCCTCGCGGATGCAGGCCTTGACGTAGTTTATTAGCCGCGGGATGTCGGACTCCTGCAGTGGCCGTTCCCGGCCAACGACGCTGTCGATCTCGTCCACTGCCTTCTTAAGCATCTCCGTGCTGTTCACCATCTCGGCCAGAGCCCACTCCACTGCATTTGACGGGTTGTCCATGGACGCGAACGTGATATCCATCAGCTGAGCTTTGACCTCCTCGATGCTGAGCACCGGCCTGCCGTCGGCATCCTTGAGCATAATGAGCACGTCTAGGAAGTCCTCGGGCTCCTGCCTCTCGCCGCCCTTCCACAGCCTCCACCGCTCATGGATGACCGCGTCGTGCAGCCTGGTCACCCTCTCGTTGGCCTCCTTGACCATCTTCTCGTGGCCGTCTAGGTCGAGGCCCAGCAGCCACGGGAGATAGTCAGAGACACAGAAGGAGTACAGGAGGCCCAGGGACGCAAAGACGGCGTCCACATGCTGCACCTCCAGCGGGCCAGGGCCACCGTCAGGCTGCGGCTTGCCAAAGTAGCGCGTGTTGAAGATGAGGCGGCGGACGACGTTTCCGCAGTAGTGGCGTGCGATGTGCCTAACGTCAACGACGCCGGCGGCCGGACCCCGCTTTCGTGAGGTTGTAGACGTAGCGGGTGAGGTTGTCTGCCTCGTCGGCACGCTTGACGTGGAGCCACCTGTGACGGGACGGGCAGACGATCACGGAGGCGAGCACGCGGCGCATCTTCCTCCACTGGTCCCCGTAGGGGGGACATCACGGCGTCCCTGTAGCCTCTGCTGAAGGTCTTGGAGGCCAAGGTGAGCGGGCGAGAAGCGAAGTTGGCGTCCTGGTTCTTGAGCACCTCGAGCGCGATCTTGGCGCAGCTGATGGGGATGACCCATGACGTGGATACCGCCCAGTTTGATGCAGGCGATGCCGGTTCCCGTCTCCTTCATGATCTGATGGACCCACTGGAACGCCGGCTTGTCGCTGACCATCATCTCCGAAAGGTTGCCAACGAGTGGCCATGGCACGGGCCCCGGCGGGAGCGGAGGGGTGCACCTGCCCTTCCTCCGCCACGGCCTGTGGGTTTTAACGAGGCACAGGAGCATCACTACTAGGACTAATAACACATGTGGGACCATGCACTACTACAGATAGACTTTGTAGGGGCGCCTCATAGGTATTTATAGGGGTGGTTTGGCCAGCCGCCCCTACCCAAACGTGACTACAAATCGCCGATTTGTAGGGCGGTTCCTAGACCGCCCTACAAATTGATTTGTAGAGGCGGCTGGCGTTATAAGCCACTCCTACAACCAGTCGCCTCTACAAAATTGATTTGTAGGAGCAGTTCAGTCTAAAACCGCCCCTACATTATATTTTTCAGCAAAAAAAATCAAATTTATAATTTAAATTCGACCAGAATATATATATATATATATATATATATATTTTTAAAAATCTGACCACAAGCACAAGAGCACAAGGTGATGGTACTGAGAATTCAGATTGCGGTCTAATATATGAGATAGTATATATAAGTCAGATCCAAACATACTGAAAATTCAGACTGCAACTGAAACAATAAGAAAGCACTTGTTAATTTAGCATAAAATAACAATAATAATTACTACATAAGGTGCCTGACAAGCAGGTAACTAGTTCTTAATGGTAAAATTATTTTTGTCAGCAAACTAGTGCTCTCTTCGGTGATGTTTACTGAGAAAACTAATTCATATTTGAGACAAGTATTTTTTGACCTACATTTAGTTCAAAATCGATGATGAAAAAACAGGTAGCAGTAGTACACTTACAAATCAAAGATTAATCTATCTAGCAGTTCACTAAACATTTATCGATATCGAGTCCAGACTTAGCAGCCAGCCATAAACACACACAAGAGATGACGAGATCAAACCATAATTGCATATACACAAGCAGATAAATTACACAAGGGGAGATGGAGGGTTGTCTCACATTGTAGTGATGTCGGGAGCGCGTGTCGTCGTGGGTAGTGGTGGCCGCCGCCGCCGTGGCCTCGTCCTCCTCAGAGCTCGAACCACCAACTCCTTCCTGAGCGCCTCCTGATGGGCCTGCGCTACCACATCCCGCGCCGCTGCCGCATCTCGAACCGGCGTCGCTTTCAGCTTATTTACTTCACAAGGTTGAAAGGGAGCCAATCTGGAGAGAAGTGTTGCGGTAGCAGCCACCTGGCCATTTCAATGGTCAGTAAATCTATATCTAGATATGGATAACAGAATGTTTAATAATGAATTCAAGGTACACATAGCTTATCCCCTAGGAGAGTGAGAGACTATGCAGGATAACGTGTATGGATGGTCGAGACCCTTGGTAATGGTTAGGAACATATTTAGGTTTACATATACCACAGAAATACTTTGTATAGGTCCAATTGAATACTGATTTTGTGAGTTAAGATAAAAAATACAAAATTAACTTATAAAGTCACGATGGAAAATTTCCTGAGCAACAATATTAGTATATTACTACACTGTCATAAATCATGTTGAGGGGGCTCCTCGAAGCACATGATATATTGTAGAATGAACAGTTATCAAACACATTTCCATCGACCAATAAAGCATTACCGATGCTGACATACTACAGTCATGTTGCTAAATCAACGGGATCAAACTTGTTAAGAAAATACCAAATTTCACATGTTTGGCGTTCTATGGTTGGCAGAATGGCAGGAGATAAACCAATAACCAATAGAACTTTACAACAACAACAACAATAACAACAACAAAGCATTTAAGTCCCAAACAAATTGGGGTAGGCTAAAGTTGAAACCCAGCAGAAACAATTAAGGTTCAGGCACATGAATAGCTGTTTTAACCAATTGAACTTTGTCTTTCAAAAATGGTAAGCTGGGCACACACATGCGTACCTCTAAAGCAGGGCCTAATCCACCATTGTCCTGAAGCTGAAAATACAACAACTGAAAAAAGAAGTGTGAACAAACTTGTTTTCCTACAGCTGCACAATATATCAAGTACTTGGTTTATCTAAACGTTCTATGCTGTGACAATATGCACAACTAAAGAGAATCAGGTAAGCATCTAACAACTATCGTAATCTAGTAACAACGGAAGTGAACTAATATTTTCCACTTAAAAGGTAGACCTATCCAGTAGATAAAAACCAAATAGGTTGGTTATGGAATACTATAGTTAAAACAAGATGATGCCTATTAGTGAATGGACATAATCAAGATACATCTACAATTGCACAATATATCAAGTACTTGGTTTATCTAAACGTTCTATGCTGTGACAATATAAACAACTAAAGAGAATCAGGTTAGCATCTAACGATTATCGTAATTTAGTAACAATGTAAGTGAACTAATATTTTCTACTAAAAAGGAAGACCTATCCAGTAGATAAAAACCAAATAGGTGAGCGGACATAATCAAGATACACGGTCAATTTTGTAAGAAGAAAAGGAAAATATATACCTGTGGAACATGGAATTTAGAACCGAAACACAATAAATGGCAAATAAATCTACACAAGAACCATAATTCAACAAGCTAAAATTGGAGCATGCTAACAACAATGAAGCAGGGAGAGCAGCTCTGACCATGGCATCGAGGGCTGGTGTTGCTTCGGCTCATCTCCATCTTGAAACCTTGGCCGCAATAGTCGGCTCATCTACTCCTGTCGAGATCAAATCCACCCCCAGGCCCCAGCAAACCCTAGGTCATGAAAGGGCCAAAAATTTCTCACCTGCTTCCTGTACGGACAAAAGAAGGAGAGAGGGAGAGAGCTGGACGCGAGGGTGGGTCGCCGCCGTCCAGCCCGCGCGCCGGCCATCGCTGCTCGCCCCGCTGACCTAGCCGCGCACCCGTGGGGAGGACCGGCGACGGAGGGGCCAAACCCTAGGCCACCGTTCGTGCCGCTGCGACCTGTTGCCTTGCATCGCGAGGAGGAAGGGGCGTGTTGGAGGAGCAGGAGGTGGAGGAGGAGGACAAGGGAGGCTGCTGCCGCACGGAGGGCCAGCCACCGCCGAGGTCGCCCCGTGCCATCGCCTTGGTCGCGCCGCGACTCGACCTGGGGAAAGACGAAGAGAGGGCGAGAAAGGTTTTTTTTGGTCGATGGATGGAGTGACAGTTCGTCTTGGTATGCCTTTAGATTATTATTTTTCATATTGTGGTGGGTTGGATTTATTTTTTGAAAGATCCGGCAAAGTCGGCTTACATTAATACCTACATAAATAAGTAGAAAGCATATACTTAAAATTTGAATTTGTGAACTTCGAATTGAATTTTAAGATAAAAAATTATCTAAAATGAAAATGTTGTAAACATCAAAGTTGTAGAACTCATCAAGATGTACAACTTATATTTTGGTTATCTTTTCATTTGACAAAATTTGAAAAGTTCAAATTTTGAATTTCAATAAATGGCAACTTCAAACAAGATTTTGAAAACTTAAATGATTTCAAATAAGAAAGTCATAAACATAAAAGTTGTTGAACACATCACTATCTACAACTTTTATTTTGATCATCTTTTCATTTGATAAAATTTGAACAGTTCAAATTTTGAAATTCAATAAATAGCAACTTCAAATAAGATTTTGAAACTTTAAATGACTTCAAATAAGAAGGTCATGAACATAAAAGTTGTTGAACACATCACTATCTACAACTTTTATTTTGGTTATCTTTTCATTTGACGAAATTTGAACAGTTCAAATTTTGAATTTTAATAAATGACAACTTCAAACAAGATTTTGAAACCTTAAATGATTTTAACTATAAAAGTCGTGAACATAAAAGTTGTTGAACTCATCACTATCTACAACTTTTATTTTGGTCACTTTTTATTTGACAAAGTGTTAGTAAACATTATTCA